TTTAACTGAAAGCCTCGATTGGGGTCCTCAGTGACTTCTCCCCAAGTAGTCAGTGCAAGGGGCCCCACCTGGCTGGGCCAGGACTGGCCTGTGCACCTGGTCCCTTCCCAGTGTCCTGCCAGGCGGGGATCCTCATTCCTCCTGGGCCCTCGGCTCCTCACGTGGATGATAGGCCTGGGTGCACCGCCTCCCAGGAGCCCCTCGCAGGAGGGCAGGGTGTGCAGGCCGGCGGAGGCCCCCGCCCCTCGGCATCGGGGCCACAGCAGCAAGGGAAGCTTCTGCCTCCCCAGCTCTCTTGCGAGGCTTGAGAAAACCAATTTCCTCTTCCTGCTTCTGGCTGCATCTGGAGGAATTCTGGGCTTCTGGTTTAATTTAACCTGAATAATCACAACGGTAAAGGCAGGCATCCTCCCCTCCCCACTCATTTGACTGAGGATGGCTCTGCGGCCAGCACTGGGACCCCTCCTGGGGGCCAGGACCTGTGGACAGAAGCCAGGGCCCGTGGAGGTTGGTCTGCACATCTCAGGGATGGGAGGCTGCGCTGGACACCCTCCTGGCCTGGGAGTGGGTTCCTGCTGCAAACAGGCCCTTCCCCAGGACAGTGGCTCAGATTCTCAACCAATCAGCAAAGAATCCAGGAACCAGGGACCACAGGGCACCCTTCACCTGCCCTGCTGTGTGGCCGAGGCCTACTGAGGGGAACAGAAGCACCTCTGGACTCTCTGGCCTGTGGACTTGGTCCTGAGGGCAACCAGCCACACCTCTGCAGACCTGGGCTTGATGATAGTGTCTGAGATGAAGCAGAGCCTGGGGCCAGGACGGGGTCTGGGGTCCATTCCAGGCCACGCGGGAGACTCTGAAAGGTGGAAAGAGGAGGGAGAAGTGGTCAGGGTCCCAGGGCCAGGTGACGACACAGCCACAGGTGTCTGTGACACCCACCCAACAGAGATGCCAGCAGGGCAGGGTTTCCCGTTTCCCGACCAGGCGAAGGAGGAGCTCAGGTCAGGTCACCCCTCTGCGCCTGCCCCCTGCCCTCTGCCCTCTGCCCTGTGCTGCAGCTGGTCCTGGTTTCTGAGGAGTCTGGGTGACTCCGAGTTGCACAGGGCAAACGGGGACAGGGAGGGAGCAGGCATCTGGCTGCTGGTCCGGCTCTCATGATCCGAGACTCCCCGGGGGTGTGGGCACAGTGCCCACAGGGAAAGCCCTCAGGACGAGCCCCAGATGCCAACAGGCTCTGGAACATTCTTTCCAGGCTGTGCCAGTTGCCAGGGAGTGGATGCCAGGAGGGAGCGTAAGGCTGAATTCGGTCTCCAAGGGTGTGCACCTCAATGGGCCGCGTCCTGCACTAGCCCCAGGCCCCAGGAAGGGACAGCCTGGGCTCGAGACGGAGGCCTGGGGCCAGGTCCCTGTCTCTTTTCTCAAGCAGGATGGCCTTGAGCACGTCCTACATCACCTTCTCTAAACAGCAGAGGCCACTCAGTGCCCGCCTCAGTGACTTGCAGGAGGGTCCCAGGAGATGGCCCTAGTAAGACCGTTCATGCTAAGGCTCGCACACAGTAGGTGCTTAATAAATGAATGTCTTGACTGGGGCTTCTGTCCTTAAGAAGCAGGACTCCATTTGCACAAGCATCGCTAGGTATGAGGTTAAGTCCTGGCTGGGGAAGTTTTGAGCCCCCTGCTCATCTTTGGAGAAGAGCAAGTTTTGAAGTCTGTAAGGAACTCCAGAAAAGAGGGCCCTGCTCCCTACCCTCTGGGGCTGTCCTGAACCCCACTACTGCCCCCTGTCTCCTGGAGCATGATGCAGAGCCATGGGGGTCTTGGAGCTCTGTCCACAGCAGGTCCTCCTATAGCCATGTCCTCTCCATGGAAGGTGTCAGGCTGGGCCAGGAGGGCCACCTGTCCTCCGTCTTACACGGCAGCATAGAGGTCAAGAGCCCTGGCTCAGGAATCTGGTGACCTGGGGTGCAACTCTGGCTCCCCCAGCCTCTCACTGTCAGCACAGGGAGTGCCCCACTCAGGGGTCTCCGGCTTTGCTGCACATGCAATCACCCGGGGTCCTGAGCAAGACTTGATGCCCAGGTCCCACTCCCGGACATGCAGCCCTAACTGATGGGGCTGTGACCTGGGCTTCAGAATTGTGAAAACTCCCACGTGATTCTCTGTTTACAGCAAAGCTTGCAAACTACTCATAGAGTAGCCATGAGGAGAAATGAGTTATCATGAAAGATGATCATGAGCCTGGCCGGTCAGGACTCCGGGGTGTCTGCTGTCCTCACTGCTGTTCTTAGAGCCACCATCATCACCACCGTCATCATCACCACCATAACCACCACTATCACCATCACCACCATCATCACCACCACCATCACCACCACCATCACCACCATCACCACCATCAATCATCACATCATCACCATCACCATCATCACCATCACCACTACCATCACCACCATCACCACCACCAACGTCACCACCACCACCACCATCACCACTATCCCATCATCACCACCACCATCATCATCACCACCATCATCACCACCATCATCACCATCACCACCATCACCACCACCATAATCACCATCACCAACATCATC